ATTAATTAAAGGAGAATACACTAATCCCCATAATTAGAGCCGATGTATAACACTGCAGCTGTCACTCATCGGCTCTATTGATCGGGAACTGAGTCATCACATACCGCTGACCACTCAATTCCCAATGTTCTCCCTGCAGAGAGTGGTGACTGCCAGTTACTACTATCCGCAGGGATTCTCCCCTCCCCTCTCCGTTTCTCCAGTGCTGACTGGAGGAATGGACGGGGCGGGTGCGGGCACAGCTAGCTATGCCTCTAGAGATGCAGAGCCAGCTGTCAAAAAGGCAGCGGGGTGGATCCCGATAATATTGTTGGGATTTGTCTTGGCTGCAGCATGGCTCTGCGCTGTCAGCATACCCATTATATTATATAACCAATTATATGCTGAGTTTTGGGTCACAGGAGGACATTAGTCTATGTCCTCATGTGACCCTAAATAGAACTATGGCAAGAAAAGTTTGGGCCATAGTTCTCTTTTAAGCTAAGGGAAAACTCCCTTGCAAAGAAAAATGTGCTTACAAAGTAAACAGCCTATTTGCTTTTAGTAAATCAACCTCGATGGAATTGCAATGGCGTTAGATTAAGCCCCTGCAAAAGGGTAACAGCACTGTGGTGCGGCTGTTAAAATATCTGTAGCATTGCCACCCTCTCCTCCTCACGGCAGCATTCAAAATACAGTAGTCGTTTGTGACATTGCCTTTTTGCCCAGCAGCCCTCTCTGCTGGGCAAAAAGGGCTGAGTGTTATCTCTGCTGAAGAAGAGGGAGGTCACTCCCATAGCTGCTTTGTCATTGCCAAATCTTGTCCCTGTTCATTGCAAAGTGCTATCACACTGACCTGGAGAATACAGAAAGGAATGAAGGGAACTGAAATCCCAGCACCTCTAAATTCTAGAGATGTGGTCCCACCCTTATAGGTAGAAAAAAATGATAAGAAAGGGCTCAAGCAATGTTAGGTAACTAAAAAGTCTAACCTAGACAATAATATATCCAGCTAAAAATGGCAATAAAATCATATGTGGAAATAAATTAAAGATGGACTACAGGTATAACTATTTATATATAGTTACACTGGTCCAGGTTGACTCAGTGTAAGAATACATAGTTTATACCTGGAAGGGCTAGAAGGATCCTGTAAAACACTGTAGTAGCCATAGTGCTCTACAGAGATCTACTGGGTCCTGTATTGCCACTGTGCTGATTTAAAGGCACTGCCCCTCAACCAATCAGAGAACATCAGAGAACATTTAGTATTAACTGATAAAAATATAAGGTGTTTGCTGAATTGCTGGTGTGCTGAACAAGTGACCCACTGTGTTTAGGGCGCAGCGGCAGTACAGGAGCCAGAAGATTGCTGTAAAGTACTGTAATAGCTGTGGCTATTTACAGGATTTACAGGATTCATGTGGCTCTTCCGGGTATAAAACATGTATACGTACAGTGGGCCAAGCTGGACCAGTGTAAGTACAGGTAAAACTCGAATAATTAGAATATTGTGCAAAAGTAATTGCAGTAAGTGCTGCAAAAGGGGCCCAAACCAAGTACTGAGTACATATGCATGCTTGTACTTTTCAGAGGTCCGATATTGTTCTATGTACAATCCTTGTTTTATTGATTGCATGTAATAATCTACTTTTTTGAGGTTGTAGATTTGGGGTTCTTGGGGTTTTCATGAGCTGAAAGCCATAATCATCACAATTATGACAAATCACGGCTTGAATTATCTTGCTTTGCATGTAATGAGTCTATCTCATATATTAGTTTCACCTTTTAAGTTGCATTAGTGAAATAAATGAACTTTGCACGATATTCTAATTATTCGAGTTTCACCTGTATATACCGATCAGCCATTACATTATGACCACCCACCTTATATTGAGTAGGTCCCCCTTTTGCCGCCAAATTAGCCTGGGTAGGTTAAGGCATGGACTTCACTAAACCTCTGAAGGTATGCTGTGGAATCTGGCACCAAGCCATCAGTAGCATATGCTGTGGGTTGCGAGGTGGGGCCTCCATGGATCTGACCTGTTCAGCACATCCCAGAGATGCTTAATGGGGTTGAGACCTGGAGAGTTTGGAGGCCAAGTCAACACCTCAAACCCATTGTTGTATTCCTCAAACCATTTAAAACATTTTTGCAGTGTGACAGCGTGCATTATCTTGCTGAAGGAGGCCACTGCCATCAGGAAATACCGTTTCCATATAGGGGTGTACTTGGTCAACAACAATATTTAGGTAGGTGGTACAAGTCAAAGTAACATCCACATCAATGGCAGGACTGCAGGGTTCCCAGCACAACATTGTCCAAAGTACATCCTGGTGCCATCTATTGCCCAGGTAAGGAACACACATTCACCCGGCCATCCACATGATGTAAAAGAACACATGATTTATCAGACCAGGCAAACTTTTCCATTGCTCCGTGATCCAGTTCTGATGCTCTCGTGCCCATTGTACATGCTTTTTGTTGTGAACACGGATCAGCATTGGCACCTTGACCAATCTGCGGCTATGCAACCCCATACGCAAAACAAACTGCTCTGCATGGTGTGTTAAGACCCCTCGCTATCAAAACCAGCACTAACTTTTTTCGCAATTTGAGCTACAGTAGCTCTTCTATGGGACAAGACTATAGGTGCCATCCTTCGCTCCCCACATGCATCAATGAACCTTGACCGCTGGTTCTCTGGTTTTCTTTCCTTTGACCAATTTTGGTAGGTCCTGACCACTGCAGACTGGATGCATACCACAAGAACTGCAGTTTTGGAGTTGCTCTGACCCAGTTGCCTAGCCATCACAATTTGGCCCTTGTCAAAGTCACTCAGATCCTTCCACCTGCCCATTTTTTCTGTTTCCAACACATCAATTTTAGGGACAAAATGTTCAATTGCTGTCTAGTATAGCCCACCCACTTCCAGGTGCCATCATAATGAGATAATCATTGTTCCCTTTACCTCTCAGTGGTCATTATGTTATGGCTGATCAGTATATATAAATATTTATACCTGGATTTCAGCTTTAAATCAATCATGACATGTGTGAAAGACAACTTTTATATTTACAAAGATGTTTCAAGCTTCAGTGATTTAAGAATTGTAATTATTCATTAGATTACGTTATTAATTATTAAAATATGGTATTAGAAATGACTAACCAAAAGGAACTGGCTCTTAGAGCTCACTAGGTCATTTGTACTTTTTATTTACATAGAGGTCCACCTATCCTGAGACCCTGTAGTCCATAGTTCACAGGGAAAAAATCAGATTAAATAGAATTTGATAAAGGTTAAAGACGTCATAGCTTCATGTGTATTTTTTCATGTTACGTGCTCACATGCTTAGAAAGTTGTAAATGCACCACTTACAGGTATTTGTACCTTTTTAAAAAGATCACAGAACCCCCTCTAATAATGTTTCTATCTCTCTACTAAAGATGGTCTGCACCATCTTTGTGCAGGCTTTATTTATGTTTTAGCATCCACATGGACCAAAATTATGGCCTGGGAATTATGCAGCTATGTAAATCTTCAAGTCTGTACAGTCATCTTCCTGTTCTTGGAGTTGTATATAAACAGCTCCTTGCTGTGAATCACTCTATAACTTGTTAGAAAGTGACAATTACAAATGTTTTACTCTTGCTTCCAGGCAGCATTATCAAAGCTCCTTTTAGACAGAGCTTGAGAAATTGGCCAGTCACTTGACTAGAGCTCAAGAACTGCATTGTATTGATAAAGGTGCAGTTTTCTAATTATGTTTTTCTACATTGTGACATGACAGAGATGTATTCATGCAGACTTGAAGTGAGTGGTCTGTTTTAACACCAAGCAATAAAAATAAGCCTGTTATTCAGAGATGGACAGCTTAAGAGAATGGCTGATTCAGAGACAGGTATGGCTAAATGGCAGTTTTCTTTTACTAATTAAACTTGGGAGAAACTTGGGAGGGGGGCCAAAGCCCAAGTTATTGGAAAAACATTTATTATGGCTCATTCTTACTAGAATAAGTTGACATGGGTATTGTGTTGTGGTACATACACCCTTTATACCCAATTTTAACAGAAGTACAGCATTTTATAGCATTAGGACCAATCAGATCATCTTCCCTGGCTACCATAAAATTATTTGCAAAGGAATTTATAAAATGCAATACCATTAAATCAGGATCTAGAAACTGTCTTTAGTCTTCCTGATTCCCAGAGATGAAGAACATTATAGTGAAAGCTGCCTATTTTGGAATTACAGAACAGAGGCTCCAACAGACCACAGATTGGCAAATTTAGCTGGAATTACGCTAGGTCACTATCACTTTAAAAAACAAAGCAATATTATATTAATGGTTGACATAAGTTAAAGTGTAAGCACAGTCAATTCTTTTATTTTAAATTTCAAGTAAAAATGAGGTAGGATTAGAACTACTGTCAGCTTTAAACTACTTTTTTGGGGGCTCCATTACAGAGATTATCACTCACTTACTGTTACAGTGACAATGTTTTCATCAGACAGGAATTGAGGGGGAAATCTGCAACATGGGCACATACAGCAATAAAAAGCTGAAGGGGTTCTAGCCTTCCCTTACTCTGCTAAAATAAGCATTTTTGTTTCTGTCTCTGTTACTGTTGAAGATTTTCCCTCATTTACTGTATAGTTAATTCATTATCAGTAGGACAAGTTAAATCATTATCAGTAGGACAGGAAGTGAAGGTAAATCTCTCTAACAAAGCCTCAGATGAAAATGCTAACCTTTGCTTTCTCCATCCAAATCTAAGGGGGAAAAAAAAGAAGTTTGTCCGGACTTACACTTTAACAACTGTATTTGAGCCCAAGGTTTCAGAAATATGCCACAATGACAGTTAAATAAAACATTTAATGGAAACTATCTGAAACCATGCATTGGGATACTTGCACATTCATATGGACAAGAGCTACGATTTGCTGCTACTGGTAATACAAGATATTCAGTGTTTAAATTCAACTAGTTTCATCATACTATACAAATGTGACTTACTTTTTATCTTGTTGTGATCAAGATGAAGACGCTCCAGATGACCATTAACAACTGGTAGAGAAGACAGTTCATTGTATGACAACTGCAAGTCTAACATAGACGTAACATTAAATACATTTGCTGGTACACCTGAATCAGATAATTTGTTGTAGTTTAATCTAAGAAAGGCTATTTTAGGTATATTATTAAAGTAGTTGTTAGGTATAGCCGCAATGTTATTGTTGTCTAAATACAATTGTATAGTGTTAGATGGAAGACCTGTTGGCATTTTCTTGAGTGAGTTTTTGGCCACATTGAACTGCATTAGGCTCTTGAGTTCTGTAAGAGCATCAGCTTGAAAAGAACCATCTGTGAGCTTGTTATGGTGTAAGTCCAATAGCGTTAGGTTTTCTAACTTCTTAAAGACACCTTCAGGAATCTTTGAAATTTTATTCCTTGCCAAACGAAGTTGCTCCAAAGTGCTTGGCAATGGGTTTGGTATTCCGTCTAATTCATTGTCCTCTAGAAATAAGTAAAGCAGGTTCTTCATATTCCTAAATACATTCTTTTCTATCTTTTGGTTGGTTAGCTTATTTTTATTCAGATTAATCCATCTTAGTTGAGTAGCATTCACAAATGCTTTCTCATTAAGTGTTTCAATAGCATTATTATGTAAATATAGGTACCAAATTCTTGATGGGATGGGAGGCACTTCTTTTAGGCCTTTACTGTCACAATATAAAGCACGTGGGAAATTTGTTGGGCAAACACATTCTTTGGGACACTCAAAGGCAATTAAATGAGAGGGCTCCAAGTCAAAATAGTCATAGGCTTGTGTCTTAGAAAAGGTGAAGATGAAAAGCACCAACAAGGATATAAAGGTTCTGTAAATTGCTTGTGTTTCCATTGCCAACCTTAAAGAGAATGATAATAATATTATGCAGGTTCACAAAACAGTGACAGGATATTTCCAGTTATGTAATATACAGTTTTCCATCTCTCATATCAGGTTACAGGTAGAAAATCCTATTTAAAATTGGTATAGCATGTAGGCCTTCTGACGTAGCAGTCAACCAGGATTATGGGATGTCTGAAATATAGCTATACATCATACCCCATACAGAGGACCAGATGTTTTAGTGTTTTACATCATATTCTAGCCTAGTTACTGAGAGCCAGCAGCATCATCTCATTTTTATATTTCCATAATCCCAAAAGGCTAACAACACAAAGCTCCTTTTTGTTCTGGACTTCTACAATTTTATGCAATGTGTGGGTAGTGAAATTAGTCAAATGGGAACACTGAAAACACAGATTGAGTTGTTCAAATCAAGGATCTTTTCTCCAATCTATTCACAAAATGTTCAAATCTTCCATATAAAAAGTCATCTGGATGGGATTACATATGAATATGTTATGCACTAGCATAAAAGATCAAAGGCCATTTAAACAGCTGCTTCTTTTGTATGCTTCTCAGACCTTGAGAGCTCTGCATGAGAATCCCTGCCCTCAAGCAATTTGAATGCCCTTACATAAACAAAATTTGTTTAATCATCTCTTTGAACATATTGTTTTAATTGAATTAAAATTTTAATAAAGAAAGTGACTTACAATATTAGTTAGCTATTTAAAAAAAAAATAAGATGGAATATTTTTTTTTACAATAAAACATATACAAAATAGACAGTAACAATGATATTAATACACATATGAATATTAACATGCTATAATAGGTTATTATGATGAAGGTTTTAAACAAACTCCTAACAAATGTTTCAGAAAGTAAGCCATGGCAGAAAATCTAGTTAAACACTGTCTCGCCTTTTCAGTGTTAAATTCCACTGATGTAAGTGATGCTGAGCTCAAAGCCTCCTTGCTAACATGTGAAAACTGTTTAAGTTATACATAAGTTATGCACAGCTACAAAATATCACATAAATACTGTACAAGACAGCAAATGAATGACAGTTGTACATATCATTTTACAAGACAAACAACTACATCTTGGACTCTATCCAAAACCATGAAATATACAATTCTAAATTAACACTGAAACAAAAATATTCAATAATGAACATGCTCACAGCTTTAGGAGATGTTAAAGAATATCATCTATTAAAAAAATGCAATTATTTGCAGTATGTTAAAAGATGTATTACCTTTTGCATGCAGAAAGTTGTAGTCCTTCCTCACACTATGTGATGCCTGTTTGAATTCACCTTAAAGTGGAAACTCTTGGCTCCTAGCAGATTGTTTTCATCCTGTCCTTAGAGGTTTAACTGCCTGTTACATCAACTGAACTCTTCTCCTTAAACTCACAGGCAGTCTCCTATGTTACAATTTAATCACAGCAGTTTGCTTTAGTGCTCATTTTGCATGTTTGAGCTTACCTCTGATTTCCTGAATCCCCAGTTGTTTTGTGTTGCTCCCTGGTCAGACTATGACTGAGGTAAAATGCCTAAGTCTATGAATGCTGCCTGTCTAATATATATGCACCAGTGACTACAACAGTTAACCCATAAAGCATTTTAGACACTTCAGCACCTAAACACCACAAAGGAGGACACTGCTGGCTCATATAAATTGCTAGAGGGCACAGTGCTTTAATCTGCATTCTCATTTTAGAAATGCCACAAACAATTTTAAGCATTGTCAACATATTGAGTGCGCATCATTTTTGTTGAACATAATTTGCCAATGGAACGCATGTCTCAAACGATATCAAATAAACTCATCTCAGGGGACAATATTGACTTAAAATTTGACAAATGATAAATAATAAAACGAATAGCATTTAAGTGATGCAAAGTTGTAGGTGGGAAACAGTACTTTTTTAAATGTTTAAAACTATAAAGACATTTTGAGTGGTATGACAAAACTATATTTTAATTGTGTATATCATTTTGTATAATTTTTATGTCATCCTAAACATTTTATTTTGCCATGGGGAAAAGGTAAAGGTTCTGCTTTTCCTTCCTTTCCTTTTTCCTTGTTTTATCATATATATCTATATATAGATCTATATATAGATATATATATATCTATATATAGATCTATATATAGATATATATATAGATATATATATATGTGTATCTATATATAGATATATATATATCTATATA